ATATAGGCCTAGGCCAGGAGGTAGGTCTCGCAATTTATATATATATATTACTATTATAAACAATTAAAACAAAAGAAAAGATTACAATTAATTAACATACATCGGGTCTTCAGTCTTCGTTAATTAAAAAGTGACGAATTAACGATAAATGAAAAAAATTCCAATTTATTCCAATAATTTACGCGAGCACGGAATTTACCCAAGCACGCACACGCGCAAATATTCGATTATATATGAATTCTAATACGCTGTCCATACTAAGTGATGTTAATTATAAAATAATATAATTGTAAACCCAATTAATTGTGTGAAATTAGTATGCAGTGTACGTAACTTATATACTTTGCATGAGTCATCGGGAAGATCATGACACAAAATGACGGTGTGTACCACGTGACTTTCGCAAACCAAGGAGCGGAATGTCGCAACTCCTTATAATATGGCTCTGGGAACCAGCGCCCTCAACAATACATGAACTTTACTACCTCACAAAATGTTTGCAGTCTAGCACGATTTTATTGAACAAATAAAAGGCATGTAAACTGCAGTATTATCTTCGGTCTCTCCGTGCCTTTTTTCCGTCAGAGGAAGATCATGCTGGCAGTTCTAACGCGGTTTTGAACAGATTTTTCACAATAAATATAACACAATGAGCATTAATTTTGTGCCACCAGTAATTCAAGAGAACCCAGATGGATGGGGACCTTGTACTGTTCCAGATCAGTTTAAAGATATTCCATATCAACCCTTTTCGAAAGGTGACCGTCTTGGAAAGGTATGGGGAGGCGAGGCGCGCAGCGCATCGATACCCATCGATCGTGGATGTTAAGCTAGCCTAGGCCTATTTCTAGAAGGACAAAGTTTGCGGTCTGGCTGGGTGGGTTGCAACTAACTGGTAAATTGACCGGGCTTAGCTAAATGCGACGATGGCGTATTTTATGGCATTTATCAATATACAATAGTTGTTACCATCACTGATTGCTATAATAATACTAGGCCTAGCTAGGCCTATTATTAATATACTAATAATAGGATTTTATTTTATTAATATAATTGGTACATTTTTTCAATATTGCCATTTTAACCCTTGTTTTAATTAATGATTTGCTTTTGCCTTTTACATGTGTATTGATAACTTTGTCTTAATAAATGTGTACGGCACTCTGGTCTCTTTTGGAAGGGCGCCTAATAAATGATTATTATTATTATTATTATTATTATTATTATTAATTATGACCCTAAAATGTATGCCAGTATTTTTCCATGGTTTATAATAATTAGACTAATGCATATGCAATTTTTCAAAAAAAAAAATCTTTTTTAGTGAAATTTTGCCAGGAATGGGGCTTTAATAAAAAGCCAAACAAAACACTTGGAAAGATTTGGAAAGTTGGATAAATAAAAAACTTCAAATAGAATTACAATTTTCAAAGGAAATGATAATACTTGGAATGAATGGAAAAAATAATAACTGTATAAATCGTGACGTCATTACCGTAACTCCCAATGTCATTTGCCTATTCTCTAGCGTGATTTTTTTAGGTTCGTGTGCAAAAAAAAAATCCTCATTTTTTTCGTCACCGCGAATACATCGCGCACTGCGATAAAAATTGAATTGTAATTGAAAATGACTTTCGTAAAGCAAGCTTAATTAGAACCCGAAGAAAGTTACTTCAAATTCAATATTAAGTATGAACAATTAATTAATTCATTGAATCAATGGACCCTCATAAACACAACAAACTGAACGTTTAATAGAATATAGGCTAATGTTACCGGCGCCTACTATATTTCTTTGTGGACCTATCGCAAAATCAATCATAAAAAATTCATCCACATTTATTTTTTTGTGTGGAACAAAAAATCCGTCTTTAATTTGACATTTTTTCATGTTTAGGAATGTCTGAATTCAGTTAACCTAGAAATTTTTGTATTATATTTATAAATCTTTATAACATATATATATTTTATAACGATTTATAAATATAATACGAAAATATAATGTGAAAATCAGAGCTTTAAAATATAGACTACTGTAGCCTATACTTCTAAACATGTTTAAATTTAAGAGTAGTACAGTAGATGTTTATTCCTATTAACTTAAACATAATATACACACGTGGCATGTCTTTCTCACTTCTCAGGTATCAGACTGGACTGGTGCAACCTACACAGACAAGAGATATTTAGGTATTTATAAAATTATATCTTCATATTTACCCTAACTCATCCCTGCCATGGACTCGCTCCTCTGACAATAAGAAGAAATTTCTGGGGAAAGCCTGCCTCTAAAACAACCTGTTTACATCACCAAATATACTAGAAACACAAGATAAAGTTCTCCACAGAAGAAAAGTGTTCCACTGAAATGCATGGTGGGAACACAAACAATGGGCGCCATTGAAGGTAGACATTGTTGCCACCCATAAGATACAAACAAGTATAAAAAAATCAAAAGAATAAAATTACAGAACAAGAAAGTGTAGAATCGTATGACCGGACTGTGATTTCCATCACTAGAAAGCGAAGGGCGCCGTGTACGTCTGGATGTGAACTGGATAAACGTGTGTAAATTGTTATGTTGAAAACTAAAGGGTGCCACTTAGGACTGGATTTGCGTAAAAGATGTGACGTAAATCCGCGTCACTTTTGCTATGCGAGTGCTCTATCTTGTATTTCATCCATTCTTGCCCAGTTTGTTGTTCTCATGTATCTGGTGAAGTCAACTGCTCCACCTTTGAAAAATACTAAATGTGTTTATTAATCAATTTTATTGTCTGAATGTTTTTGTCTGATTTAATTGTTGGTGGATCGATATTTATTTACTTTTGGTTTTAGGTCGCTACAATACTCAGTTTGGTTCTGGGACTCAGTACTCATACTATCATGAACAGGATGAATCAAGCTTCCAGCTTGTTGATTCTTCAAGAATCCAGAAACCAATCTACTTGAGAAATAGGCTTAAATTTAATCAGGTAAAAAAGTATTCTCTCGATATTGCGCTCTCTTTACTCACTAATAAAAGAACATTCTATTATTCTGCTGAAAATTTAAACATCCTGAATAGTCTATCCTTTTATTGGTTGTAATGCAGTATTCAATATTTCTTATTATGAGGGGATTAGTTTTAGTTTTGTCTCCTGATGACTGTCCTGATGTTTTAAACACCATTCTCATCCAATTTTCATTTGTTTTGGTTGGTTGAATGTGTTTTTTTTTTTTTAATTGCAAAATTTCAGCGTAATCTACGACGTGAACGGGAGCGCAGAGAGCAGAAGGATACCAGCAACCCGCAGTCCTTGACGAAGGCGCAGAAGGAACGTCAACGCCAAATGCGACGTCTGCAAAAGCAGTTTGGCAAGTCTCGGTGGAATCGTAATCGTTATGTAAGTGGATTGTGCAAAATTATATTTTGAATAATAAATTTAAATTGTAGAAGCTGTGATATTTTATTTTACTGTTACTTTAACCACATGATTCAGGCAGTGAACTTCTTTAAGTGACTTTCTACAAATAGATTATGTAAAGAAACCACTAATTACTGTAGTAATGGTTGGATTGTTGGGTTTTTTTCCAATTTGTGGTACACCCATGGTAACCCGGGAAAATCTTAAATATATTTTTCTGCTGGGGTGTTTTTACAGGGGTGGAGGGAGGTCTAATCTGAACCCAAACACTGAGGTAATCCAACTGTTCTCAAATGGTTTTTGCTGCGAAGCAGCCAATTCATATTCTTGACAGCAATTTGACCTCTGAAAGGTCATTGTTTGTCAAAAATCAATCGCCTGAGACAACTGAAAAGCAGAGTTTCCTTCTTTCGTTCTGCCGGGTAAAATCAATTACTTTGGGCGACGTTTGTAGACTAACCTACTCGTACCAACGTCGGTATGTCGCGACGCTGGAGGGAGTACTATTCAGCGTTTTTACTATATTTCTAGGTTTCCTATTTCTACGTTTAATCGGCTCATGTCGCAGCCACAATATTTTGAGGACAATATTATTTACGAACACAGTTAAACTTATTTACTAGCCTATTTCAACGTGCTAATTATTGCATTTAGGCGACGCTTGTTGTAGACTGGCATAGTGTTTGCGGAAATAAATACCATTTTATACACATACGCAGATCGATTCGCCAGCAGCGAGTCATCGCCAGCAGCAGAGAGCCATCACCAGCAGGGAGATGTCACTGCAGCAAAACACTATTGTACCAACGCTGTCCTAATAATATATAGACAATGGGTCGTGCTCATATTATTTGTTATATTTTTATTATTCATTATTTTCACTTGACTCGCATAAATAACTTTGTTCGAAGAACATTTTATGCAGTTGTACTTCGCAGCACTTCACTTGCAATTTCTAGTTATACTCTTCTAATTTTATGAGAAGACTAGATTGGAGGAGGTACATTTCATTGTTCAGCTTTTTGATTGATGACAAAATAATTTTTATTCTTGAATCTTGATGAGCAATTAATTAAATTATGTAATGAAGCCAATAAGTTAAAATTAGGTAACAATTAGTAAATGGGCCACGAATTTAATTTAAATTTCAAGATATTTTTATTTCCAATAGCAACAAAATCAAGTTAAAACGAGGGATGCTTCAGTTCAAGTTCGAAATGAATGGCAAGTGGTGGAAGAGATGGATTTCCCACGACTCAGCAAACTAAGACTTCCAGAAGTCTCCAGCCCTGAAGACATGTAAGCCTAGCTTTCTCCAAAGAGTATACAATGGCCAGAAGTCTCCTTCTGATTTTGCATGCACACCAAAATGAAATGAACAGCAATACTAAAACGAGTTAGCGGGCATCTATATAAAATTCAAATTGAGTTTAAAAATTTGAATACAAAGAGCATGCGTTTTAATAAGAACGACTATTACATATACATCATCTGTTTTGAAATCAACTTATTTTTTGAGATATGATAATGCTTAAGAGAAAACCCGAGAGTCGGACCTCTTTCCATTATATACTCCATTCTCATTTATATTATATTTCATTGTTTGTGTATGCCATTTTTATTTAATTAAAATTTGATAAAAAGACAAATTGAATGTAACAAACCCATAATATCTTCCAGTGTTTCAGAGAAAGCCCAATAGTCGGACCCCTTTCCATTCTATACTCTGCTTTCTCATTTATCTTTTTCGTTCTTTGTGTACACCATATTTATTTTTTCAAATTTTAATGAAAGCTGATCATTAGAAACAAAGTGAATGTAACAAACCCATATCTTAATGTTTTCCAGTGTAACATGTGGTGAATTGGAACACTACGACAAATCTTATGACCGTATTACCACCAAAAATGAGAAGCGACTAGCAAGGGTGAATCGAATCTTCCATAAGGTTACTACCACAGATGATCCATTAATTAGAAAGGTTTGTTAACATTATATTCAATTATAAAAAAGTTGTTATTGCCAGGCATTGTATCTTTGAGTAATGATGGACATCTTGTTATCCCTGTCTTAAGAAAGATATGTGGACTTCACACATCTGAGAACTCATTCACAATGCAACTACTGTATTCTATTTTAGTTGTAATTTCCATTATTCAATTATGAATACAATTTTATTTGTAAAAACAATCGTTATTTGTATCTTGTGCAGCTTGTCCCTAAAGGCAATGTTTTTGCAACCGATATCATCTTGGCAACCATGATGTGCAGTACTCGGTCAAACTATTCTTGGGATATTGTCGTTCAGGTATAGTAGCAACTACACATATTTTGCTGGGGGTTACAAATTTCTGATATTGTTATTCCTATATTTCTATTACTTTTCAAAAAAGATTGCCGAGTTAATGATGATTTTTGTTATCCCTGTCTGAAAAAAACTGAGGATATGTTAACTCTGAAAACTCGCTTTCTATTTTGAGTTAAACTTTTTTTGTTTTGTTTTGGCAGTTGCAAGTTGAATAAAATAACAAATGTAGTTTTAAAAATCTGACAAAACAGACATTCTATATTGTGGACCAAAAGGAAACAAAAAACAACAAAAATTTTGATTTATTCGGTGTAAACACCAAGGATAGCTTACAGAAGTCTATAATAAGACTTATTTCCAGTGGGGTCCTTCTGGTGATGATTGGGCAGTACACCGGGAGACAATCCCCTATTCTTTTCTGAAGAGTCTACTGCGTTCTTTAACGTGCACATGGGCCATAAATGCACACGAGACCAATGACTTGAAAGTCTCATCCGAAAAACGGTGCGCTATTGGAACTTGTATTTCATCCCTCCAGCTGAAACACAAGGAGAGGCAGCGATGGGAATTGAACCGTGGACCTAGAAATCTCCATGGTTCAGCTCACACACAGTGGCTACCACCAGATTAGCCGACTGAGCTAAGCTGCTCTCAAAAAACTAACTGACTAGTATTTATCCATAAAACAAAGAAAGTAAAACAAAATGACAACATTTCACCTTTCTTCCGACAGCGTGTTGGTGACAAGCTTTTCTTTGACAAGAGAGATAACTCCGAATTTGGTAAGAACATTATTTAGCTCCTTGGAGTTAACATGTGAACAATGGGTGCGAGTACCTTTTATAATATCTCCAATTAGGTGAAGATGATGATTTTTGTTATCCCTGTCTTAATGTCTTAAATAAGATGTGTGGAAAATATTTCTATCTGACCATCACCTTAATATTTTTTGTAGAATCATGATTATTCACATCATTGTTTTCACAATAGTATTAGTTTTTAAACGCATGTGGAGAGCTGAAAGCTAGCTAGAGTGTACTCTCTGGGCTGCGGTACCTCCTGTGCAGGGATTGTCTCGAAAGTTCCGCTTTTTTTCCCTTTTTTTTTTTTTTAAGAAAATGTTTTTCTTGCTAATTCTCCACTAGACAACCGGGCAACATAAGGAGTAAATAGGCTAGTCCGGAGCGGTTTTTACTAGACATTGTACGCCGGGCTAGTACTAAATCGAGCCCTGTTATTGACATCATTGTTTTCACAATAGTATTAGTTTTTAAAATGTTAATTTCTTTTGCGATACCTAAATGGTATCTCACTTTCATTCACATCTAATGCTCTGTCCACACTATCAAATTGCCCATATATAGTCATGATGTGCCTATATATGGGCATAATGTGATGTCATCATGACCATATTTAGACATTTCACATGATTTTGTCAGAATTTGATAGTCTGTATAAGGCTTAAAGCTCTGTGTACAATAATCAGATTTCTCTAACAAATATCAGGGATTTTTTAAATATGATGATGTCAAAAAAAAACAAAAACTGGTGTAACTAGTAACCGTTTGTTGGTATGAATGCAATTGCGGCGGGACAACAATTGGATGCACACATTTAAATATGGTCTAGAAGGAGATAGTCTTAACTTAAATAGGTTAAAAAGTATGGTATGTAAATAGTGTAAGAAGACATAACATTGAATAGACATTGCACCTATGAGATGGCTAGATATCATTTTTCAATAGATTGCTAAATAAAATAATAATAATATCAAATAATGATATATGGGTATGCTAATCACACTAATAAATATTGTACATACATCCCTTTCCCTGACGGTTTTTACCGGGCTGACCAAGCCGAGTCCGTCGTAGGCAAATCCAAGGTATTTGATACTTAGAATGTTGTAGTGTGACAGATATTTACCCTCTCTCATTGTCACATATTCAATGATTTTGACCCCACCTTCATTTTTTCTTTATGTGCAGATTTATTGACAGTGAATGAGACTGCATTGACGCCACCTCAAGAGGAGGGCATGCATACTAATGCTCCACGCAACCTGGCCCTTGAAGCAACTTTTATCAACCACAATTTCTCCCAGCAGTGTCTAAAGGTGAATAAAACACAAATTTGATAGTCCAGACAATGCTTTAAGACATTGTAGCATGGCATCAACCATTGTAATACCATAATACAACAGAAATGTTAGATTTAGCTTCAGGCTAACCTCGAAAATGGTATTTAGTGGCCTAAGGTATTTGGCAGGCATGGGGTCAATTACAGTGAAAATGTAATCAATTACATTTTCACTGTAGTGCAATTGACCACATGCCTGGTTTGTGGCTCGGACGAATCATTCAGAGGAAGAAGCAATTCATATAATCATTAATTGTCATTATTATTTTCTTCTATAGGGCTCTGAGAAAAAATTCAAGTTTGACAAACCGAATCCATTTATCACCGATGACGACGAAGGGGAGGTAGCGTCAGTAGCTTACAGGTAAACTCCTAGCTAGTGTCACCTTTTGTAACATAGTAACATAATTCAGTTCACATGAAATGTAAAAACCGTTTGACGATATTAGTGATGTAGTTATCCATGTCTTAAAGAATAAATGTGGATACAAAAATATCTGAGATACTTTAGTATATGTATATATACTTACAATAGATTATATTGTACATTATATCTTTGACCTCTCTTTTGGAGAGGAGTTAACATTTGTACTGAATTGCTATACAGTATATTAAGGTTAGTGCAATAACACATCATTAGTGTCCAGGTGCCAGGGAAATTATTGTTTTAAAGTATAGAGTTAGCAATCCAATTTATTGTTAGCCAGAGTATAAATAGTAAATACTGTATATATAATAATAATAATATTTATTTGGCAAAATATACAGAAAAGCATGGATTGCCTGGATAGAGAGTGGGCGAAAGCCCGAACAAGATTTGCTCCCTATCCTTCATATTATGAAATACATTAGTACAAAAAACAATCAGAATTAATCGGCAACATATAATGGCTTAATTAAATTATTCTTAAAAAGAGGAAACATTAACAGAGTTCCAAAGTAGAGGAGGCAGCTTTTACCAGAGTCTGGGAATGCATATGAAAGGCCAGTTATAGGTTGATATGATCTTTGAAATTAGAGGTAGATAGCATAAAAGAAATTACAAACAGGTCAAAGTTGAAGGTATCGTTTGATATATAGTTCATATGATTATATATCAAAGGATACCTTCAACTTTGTCCTTTGATATATAGTTCATTAATTGAACCTTATTATTTATGGCCATATGATATAATCCTCCTTTGTTTTTTTGTGGCAGGTACCGCAAGTGGGAGCTTGGAGAGAATATTGATCTCATAGTGCGATGCGAGCATGATGCCGTGTTGATTGGATCGTCAGGAGAGACAAACTTTATCAACATCAAGACTCTCAATGAATGGGATACCAAGGTTTGTTGTTATTAGCATCTTGAGAGTACCTTGTATTTTGTAGTTTCCACTTCCAATAACAAAACATGTAGGACAAATTGTTTGATATCAGTGATGTTATTTTGTTATCCCTGTCTTAAAGACAATATGTGGATGCTAAACTTTCTGAGATAAACACAAGTATTAGATGTTGCATGTTAATTACTGCAATATATGGTGTATTGCAGTATGCCAATTTTGATTGGTTCTTTGATTGATTGTTGCTAGGCAACAGCTGCAGCTGAATGGAGACAGAAGCTGGACAGTCAGAGGGGTGCCGTGCTTGCTACCGAGGTGAAGAACAACAGCTTTAAACTGGCTAAGTGGACGTTGTGTGCTTTGCTGGCGGGATCCGACTACATCAAGTTTGGGTAAGTCTTGCATTATGGTGTAATTTAGCTATTTTATGATTAGAAATAATGAGAGTATCTGTATATCAGTTATTTACCTTCTAAAATACATAAATGTATGTTGTTAATTGGTAAAAAATAGTCCATTGTTATGCCATATGAATGTACAAGTGAATAGTTAAGTAATATTGAGTAATATAACATCGGTTCAAAAGTACTGTATGTTGTTATCAATGATGTTATTCTGTTATCCCTGTCTTAAAGAAAACTTGTGGATACAAAAAATATCTGAGATAAGCAATCTTTGTATATTACAGTTATAACCATAATTTATGGTATTTTGTAATTAAAGAACATATTATGTAAAGGACTTCTCAAATGCCTGACCTTAATCAGGTCTCCACGCAGTCTTTAATACTGTACCCTATTTCACTATAATTTTATATGGTGCAAGTTTGAATTGTCCATTCCGTAGTTAAATTGCTTCTTTTTTTTGTGAAGGTACGTGTCGCGTGTGAACCCTAAGGACTCTTCGCAGCATGTGATCCTAGGCTCTCAGCAGTTTAAGCCGAGTGAGTTGGCCGCTCAGATTAACCTGAACATGGACAATGCTTGGGGTATCCTCAGATGCATTATTGACTTGTGCTTCAAACTGGATGAAGGCAAATACCTGATCCTGAAAGATCCTAACAAGGTAACAGTACGCTAGGGGGTAGCGCTATAGTTTTATTAAAATGTTGATTAAAAATAACATGTAATATGTAAAATAATATTTTTATGACAAATTATAATGTAACCATGGATATAGAAGACAATTTTTAAGCAACCAAGTACAGTGCTTTAGTTGACTACTCAAAATCATGTAGAATGGTTTTAAAAAATCAACATTTTTTTTTTACTCTATGAGAGGGGAGGGAGGGGGTACCGCAAATAAGTACCGTTTGTACACTTGTGAAAATCTAGATAACTGTGAACGACCCCGTAACGAAGTTGTGGTAAAAATTGATATTGGTAAATATAGGATTTCTTTCCCAGTGATACCTGCCCTAAAACCAGTCAGTATTTGTTACAACCTAACATGTCTTTATATTTTGTATTATTAAGGACACTAATGTGTGTGATAAGCACAGCTGTGAAGGCTCAAAAAGTTGTTAGCATCATTTGCACTTTTTTGATTATTTAAAATTTCACTCCTACATATGATGAGAAATTATAATCCTAACAGGATTTCGAACCCCTTTCCCTGTTGATGCTTCTTAATCATTTTGCATGTTGTTTTCTTTTTTAGCCCATGATCAGAATCTACAACATCCCAGATAGTACGTTCAGCTCTGATGAGGAGGATGATGATGGCGACGATGAAAATGATGATGTCGACGACCAGTAGATTATAAAGACGAAGATATCAAAACCATCTGTTCCGATCTTACTTTTATTTATAAAGCATAGTCTGTCTTTTTATCATACATCATCTCACATTATTATCAGTCCTATAAACATAAAACACTTTTAACCAACTTAATACTCAACTTGTTCTTGTTTCTAATCAGATGGGTAGCAATGGTAAAATGTTGAATGTATTAGTTTGTACACCATACATGTTTCATGATGTGTATTCAGTTACCAAAAGTAATAATGTTGTAAGCGCTCTGATTATTTTTTCAGACTTCCAAATGTGCTGTATGTGCTCAATTATATTATTTTCAGCACTTAATTTCTTAGAATCATACATTAATAAATTACTGGTAATATTATGTGATTGGATATTGTTGCAAGTTGTTTTTGTTTCATATACTTCACAGTACCATTTCTAAAAATTAAAAAAACTTTATAATAACCATTTCTGACAAGAATTAAAGCAACTTACAAATACAATAAAAATGAATAAAAATATAGTCTGAAACACAAAATTTCCTCCAAAATAATAACCATTTTTGTAAAGGAATTAACACAATCAAATAAATAGTCTATAAAGTACAGTAATATAAACTCTTTGAAAAAAAACAACTTTTAATCATTAATGCTGAAGAAGTCATGACTCCTTGTTTTTCTTGGTCTGCACTTCATCCCCACTGTTCTCTGTGGACTTCCTCTTTTTAGACTTTTCCTCCAAAATGGTTGGATCTAGCTTGTTGGCCACATAATTCGTCCACAATGTCAACTCTACTGTGTGAGGTGTCCACTTCTTTTCTGGATCTAGGTAAAAAAACAGTATGCAATTAACAGCTGCTTGGTAGTAAAGTGAAGTAAAAAATACCTTCAGTATGGGTGATTTAGATTCCAAGAATTTGTCATATTGTATGACAGGTGGAATACAATCAAAATAACAAAAACAGTGCTGGTGCCAGCGAAAATCTTCTGTATATTATTACATTCCTCACCTTGTTTATTCAAACGTTCCACACATTCCTGGATACTTTGCATGTATTTATCAAACTGCTTGGCATTGTAGTTAAGTGGTGCTAGGCCTGGAATCTCCAGCATGCTCTCATCAGCCATGAACGCCACCTGATCAGGAGCTCCAGCTGCCAGGATGGCTGAGTATGAAATTAACATCAGAAAAGCACCAGTCAATAACATGAAGACATGCATAAGCAATACTGCTTCACAAATCTAAATAAAAAACTACCAGACTACTAACCAGAAGCTGTGGCTGGTCCAACTGCCTTCAAGACAACAAGGTGTTTAAGAGCTGATTTTAAATCTGGTAGGCTCTGGAAGGCTTTTTTGCTTGATGTCTCTACCAGTTCCGGAGTGTTTGTTTGAACTAGTTCAGCGAGACGTGGACGAAATTTACCCCTCTGCGGAAACAGATTTCTTTCAATATTAATTGCCTTTACATACTATTATTAGTGATCAGAGACATGAATATTTGGCTTCTTATAAGCCTACCAGTCTATCCCAGATCTTGTACTATATAAATAAACTTACAGCAAGCTTCCAACTCATTAGTTTAGTCAGTTCAGCATGGGTCAAGTACCTATCCTTTCTGCCTTGAATATCATGACTCAACTTCTCTTGGTACCTTTTGGTATAAAAAAAAAGTACTGTAAAACAATAACTACAAGAGATGCAAGTGACAGAATACGTATGAATGATAGAATGTAGTTTGGCCCTAAATTTACAAAACCAGCAATCATCTGACATTTCATTCCATACATTTTTTCTCTACCTTCCGGTGATCTTTAAAAAAATAAGTTTGTGAAACAAGGCTATAAAAAATTCTCGCATAAGGCAGATAGATGATTATTTAGTGAATTATAAAATACCACTTATCCAGCTCAATCAAGGTTTTTCCTGCTTCTGGTTTCTTTATGTTTGATGCTTTCAATTTCAACACCTGTTGGTAAAGACCCAATACTCGCATCCACTCATCAACATTTTGGTTTCTGAAGAATGTTGAAGACATGATTTTAAAATCAATTCCACTCTGGGGAGAGAAGTGATGATAACCGATCGTTAATTATCCTGTGTTTTAATTGAAACGAATTGTAGTGATTCTCAAACAAAAACAAGCCTAATCTGGATCTGTATACGCAACATGATTTTACAACGTCTGGCCTTGGTGATTGCCTGGGAAGGTCTAGGTCCCTCCCCTACTTGTACTAGGCCTACTCCGGCTAGGCTAGGGCTCATCTAAGCCTAGGGCCTAGCCTGAGTATGGTCCTAGGGCCTAGCTTAGTAATCGTAGGTATAGGCCTTCCGCCTAGCCAAGCGGTTTAGCTACAAGTATCTAAATTTGGTCTATGTTTCTGAAAAAAGAAATATTAATCATGTTTTAATCCTTCTGTGTGTGTTTGGGAAAACTCACCCGTTTTGAAGTCCGTTTCATTCATTTCGCGCGGTACATACCGCCGCCAACGGCTGCAAAAGTTCCCCTTCATCAATCATCTTCCCAGGCAGTTGTCGGTTCGGACCGCTAGTAAAACACGGCCGTCATAATACAAACGCACATGCGTAGAGTGAGCCTATGCCTAAATAAAAAAAAAAAGATTACCACCACTGACACTGATATTCCACCCCTTAGGGAAGACTGTTTTATAGCAATGGTCTTAGAGGAATGACTTTAGTAAGACTGTCTAAGTGATAAAGTTGGCTTTATTTGAGAAGTTAAGAATACCAGTTAAGACCATTTTATAGCAATCCGCCCCAGGACTTTACGACAGGGCTTTAAAGAAACATTATGCAGAATGGTATACATTAATTTCATTTGTGCTCCTACTGTTTGCAATGTAACTTTATTTCTGTGGTTTCCAGCCATGGCAATACCTGTCTCTTATACACATAGATGTGTATAAGAGACAGGGCCTAGAGAATCATCTGCCTGCAGGTAAGCATAAGCTGGTCATCCGACCATAGGCCTACCCTCCTATATTATAGTATTTCGTATTTGCAGCATTTTTATATATTGGATTTGCACAAATTGGCATAGGTCTATGCATTCATTCAATATTGATTAGCTTTGCCATTTGCAAGCAAGAAACTCATTTGTATTTTCCAGGCAGGGGTCCCAAGTTAGACGAACAAAAGGTAAAATGTGGCCTAGGCTTAGTCTGTTGATCAGTGGCGTAACAAAGGAGCTGGAGCCTTTCAGGGTCCTAGACCCTTCAGCGGAAGGGTGTCGGGGGTGCTGCTGCAGTGTTTTTAGCATTCTGTGATGTATTTTAATGCATTTTTTACACATTCAAAGTTTATGTATGTATGTAAGATTATGTTAAAAAATATTTGAATTTTTTGGGGGCCCATTGAGGCTCTGGGGCTGCTAGAATAGATAATACAGCAACAGAATAGATAATACAGCAACATTAAATTTTTTTTTTTTTTTTTTTGTCTAACACCAGATTACTATTGTTGCTGCAATGTCGTTAACTTCAGTGCATTATTCTGTCATTCTCTTGATTGCTGTGAGTCATGTTTGTTGCCAGACAGCCGTCAACAAGACTGGTCTAATCTGTGACAGTACTGATCCACTGTTACTGTGTGATGTGGATAATTTGCTAACAGAAGAAAAATGTAAGAAAAACAATGAATGAATATCATATCCTTAAGACAATACATAGCTCTGCATTTTGTGAGGCGCCAATTGACCATCTGCTGTATACATTTACAATACCGAAAAGAAATTCTTGTTTTATTCAGCACTTATTTATTTAGTATGATCATTATTATTGTGACAATTATTGCATTTTATTGTAAAAATTATTGCATTTTTATATTTTATGTGGTGACAGTGGACGATCTACTGTACATTTATAATACCAGAAAATAATCCTTGATTGTTGTTGCCAAGCATTTTTTTTATGAGCATATTATTATTGTGATGATCATTGTTCTAGCGAATCAACTGGAAGCTTCCATCAGTAAGGTGAACAATGGCTCAGTATGTGTTTGTAATAATTGCACCGAACAGCATGCAGGATATGTAATAGGAGTGGCAATCGTTTCAGAGCTTGACAGGTATGCCAGGCTCTTTGTGTTGTTGTATAGTATTAGTATTAGAATGCGACATGGTACATGCAATCAATCGTTTTTATTTACAGTCTGCCACGGACAATTAGCAACCACATTGTATCATCAAGCTCTCTTAGAGGGCGGAAATGGATTTGTTGCCTGATGGTCATAATAACCGCTCTATAAATTATTGCACAAAAGTTTTATTGTGATGTAGTTGGATTTATATAGTGCTTTATAGTGAAACTGTCTCAAAGTGATCGAGATGTGGACTAGCTTTTACAGTTACCATCTTGTTCCTTCCCTAAGGGTCACTTTGTGTCTGAGCTACCCGAAAAACCGGTACCAGCTATTCTCATCTGTCCACAGCAGGGGCTGAATGGACCAATACACTGGGGTAACCCCCTACTAGTCTTGAAAGATGTACTGGGTTCTTTAAAGTGCACGCAAGCCAAATTGTGTACAATGGGCCTACGGTTTATAGTCCTTAATCTGAGATGACTTGTCCCACCTCCAGAGAACCATAGGCAAGCATGCCGTTCGAACCAGCACTGATATTATGGCTGTACATTGCCGTGCCCCTGCCTTGACCTTATGGTTATCTTACTTAAATTGAATAAAAATTACAATAATTGTTTTTTTAGTGAGGAAGATGGTTTAACTTTTGCTGAGAATTTAAGACATGAATGGCTTTTTAGTAGAACATCATGTGATGATAGTATACTGCTATTGTATTCATTTAATGATGGCAAGGTGAGCTATTATAATATTGCCTTATCATGATTAAAAAAAATATAATCATTATTAAATAAATTGTTTTATTTAATCCACTTTTATGTGATGAAATCTATACATTTTTTCAGGTGTAGAATGTAAATACAATAAAGTATTGTACTTTTAAGCCCTGTCCATGTGACATGACTAAATATGGTCATGATGACATCACATCATGACCATATATAGGCACATCATGACTATGTATGGGCATACAACAAGGGCGGATTGCTATAAGCGGTCTTTAGACGGTCTTAACGGTTAGCCGGCTATAATCGTGACGTCACTACTGGTCTATGATTATAGACCATTCAGTTAGCCGTCTTAAATTTTAAAGCCTACTTGGAGGAGGCTTAAAACGGTCTTAAATCATTTTCGTCATGGCTTCTGCTGATTAATTCAGCAGTGCAACGGCAAGACCCGGGCCTAGATCATGAAAGTCGGAGAATCGAACGACGAATATTTCGCACACTTCTCAGCGTCTGTAAAAATTGGTCTACATTTATTTACGTTCATTTTGATACATTTTGCGTGCGTCGAGCATGCATGGCGTCGCCCTCAATCTTACGTTACCAAGGAGTGCTTGTTTGCGTTTCAATACTCAAAGCGGTCTTAGGGAAGACTGTTTTATAGCAATGGACTTAGAGGAATGACTTTAGTAAGACCGTCTAAGTGATAAAGTCAGCTTTATTTGAGAAGTTAAGACTACCAGTTAAGACCGTTTTATAGCAATCCGCCCCAGGACTTTACGACAGGGCTTTAAAGAAACATTATGCAGAATGGTATACATTAATTTCATTTGTGCTCCTACTGTTTGCAATGTAACTTTATTTCTGTGGTTTCCAGCCATGGCAATACCATGTTATAAAATGATGTATAAATGAAAACATTCAGTTTTATATGAATAGTGGTCCTATTTCTGGTTGTTAACTTACATTTACTTTTTTAATTGCTTATCAATATCTCTACCGAGATCCAGCATTGTGGTTTTTTTCATTATATGCTCTTAATTTTTATGATTTAAAATTTTATATTATACAGCTGTTTATTGTCATGGGACACCCATTAGAAAAAAGAATATCAAACTCAACGATAGATCAGATACATCAAGATTGTGATGCGGTTGACTCAGTGGTGGATTGTCTGGAAATGGCTGTGGTAAAGCTCGATGAAGCAGTCACTGAGGCAATCAAGGAGGAGGAGACCCCTGATGATAACCTAATCTGGGGTATCCTTGGATTTGTCACCATTGTTACAATATTAGGTTTTCATTATTATATCAAATATTGAAAAGGTACACTTTTAATTTTTGTTTCCAGGATTGCTTAGAAATGGTGTCATAATATCTGAAAAATAAGTGATTGATCATGATTATATGTAATATTTATAATTTATTTATATTTTGGCGGTGTAAATTAAAACAAAAAATATGCAAGGAAACTTTATACATTGTGAAGAAAACGGTGAATAATAAAAAAAAATGTCTTTCATAATTAGTAGACTATATTGTATTATATAACACAATATAGAAAAAACTTCCATCCATTAGTGTAAGTAAACCCACCTAATTTTGTTTGGAAGATTTAAGGAAAGATTTAAAGGTCAGTCTTACTGCAATAGTTTGTTGTATTATGAAATGTTAGTAGAGTGGTACATGACTTTTATGCATAGGGACTAAAATTATTTTCACAAAGTTTTGTTTTTGGTCCACTTGATAGGTATAAAACATTAACAATTTCACATCCCTTAAATATTTTATTGTTTTTTAGTAATATAATTTTTAATAATAATATGTTTGACTTTTAGTCAATAATTATGGGATATATTGATGCTTTACATGTATAATGGATAAGAGAGAGATCTATTTTATATCTAGTGTACAATGTTTATTAACAATGGTTCTGATACTTTTTAATGTATTGTTCTGTATTGACAGCACTATTGCAGAGGTGGTTAAAAGACTGCATATTGTACGGTATTTCAATTCACTGCTGTTAATATAGCAGGTGCTTATATAAAAACTATTAATGATAGTGGTGATGGGGTTTGTAGAAATAAGTAAAACAATAATAATAAGTAAGTTAACCCCATAATTTATTTTATATGAGATTTTTTGGTGAAATATACAATAGTATATAATATATTATATTCCAGTACTGTAATTTTATATTATACTGGTATTAAAAATACACTGGATTGTGAATGAAAGTGATAACAAAAATGAATGAACTACTAATTTTATTCCATTGTTTGGTTTAACTTTCATGTTGACAATGATGACAGTGACGACCATGACGGTTACAACAATGACATTGACGGTGAAGGCCAGCCATAATAAGTGCTTATTGCAATGATGATCATGGCAATGTAATGTAAGGGAATTTATATTGTGCTTTATACAGAGGTCTTGGGATGTTGACTAGCTTGCACAGTAACTTCCTTCTCCCTTAGGGTCTGAGGTCAGCTGCAAGCCGGTGCCAGCGACTCTCAACTGTCGACAACAGGGGCTGCATGGATCAGTTCACCAGGATAATAATAATGGCCTCTACTCGTCTTGAAAGATGTATTGGGTTTTTTAAAAATGCGAATGAACTTATCCAAGAATTATTATTCCACCATATATGAAATACAGTGCTGTGTACTTGGTCGCACCCCAGCCTTAACCACTCTGCCAGTCGACACAATGGTGATGATATTGATGATGATGACGATTATTTAAACAAACAAACAAACAACATAATTAAAGAAGCCCTTCTTATGACTTAGTAACCCTATAGAAAATATTGACATTTGCTTGTAATGCCTGGTTTATTTCCACCCTGTAATTGCTAACTTTAGCCAACTCATGTTAGTATTATAAATTTGACCCCTCTTAAAAAAAGATAATACTATTTGATTTGACCTAATAAATAACATTGATACAGTACATGGGATCTTGCAGAAAAATATGTATTTGAGTTATACTAGTTGATAATTTGCATTAATAGGTCGAATACGAACCTTTTGTTCGTTTGTGGCGTTAATGAAATACACAGAATCATTTAGAAAAAAAATATTTACACTAATCAGAATGCTGTCGATTTATATTAAATATAAAGTTTAGGTAAGAGCAGGTATTTACAATACTCTATGCCGATTGTAATCTATCGATAAGCAAACAAATTATCTCTGACAACCTTTGAGCTAACATCTGTAGACATCAAAATTGATAAATCTGTACAGTACACAATTAGAGCTGCTGTTATTTCCCGCAGTAGGCTCGCCTGTCATGAAACAAATTGTTGCAGGTTTTATAAATACAGCACAATTATTCACCCAAGTTGGGTAAGAATGGGGAAGATTATTGGATTACTACTGCTGTTAGGATCGATATGTAGATGTTCTGCAGGTACGTATTATTCTGTCTCCTACAGGTATGGAATTTCTGATATCTTCTTGGATCAACCTCTCTTCGACGTATGCTCTCTGCTTTCGTATTTTTCTACAACTTGTAACTGGCATCGGTTGCATATTGTACCTTTGTGACTTGCATGCCTTTAATAATCAATTTCTCTGTTTTTGAATATCAAATTATACTTGGTAGGTGTCTATTAAATGCTATGTTTGAATGTTTTAGAATAGTTTGTATTCATAAAATTTAGCTATCACGTAAGAAAAACAATGAATAAATTGTTCCATCAACAGGTGTTGCATTCCCGAGCGGTATAGTATTTGAGCCCGTCAATTTCACTGACGTCACTGAGGAAAACTTGCGTTACTATGCTGATCAGAAGAATACGGGAACGGAACTGTTCTTGACTTCAGAACACATATCCAAGAAGCTATCCCTAAGCTTGAAAGTTTCGGATTTTGTGGACACAAGTAGTCTCTACTTCAGGGCTCATCCAAAGATGTTTGAATGCCTTCAAAAAGTGAATACTAATATGTCAGAATCAGGAAAGGTACGTGATTCTATGTAGAGAACTCTGGATATTCAATACGTCGATGTAATTTAGAGATGAGATCCTTACATAAGATATTATTGATGTGTTGTTGGGAGTTTCAGATGGATTTCCATTCCACAACCATTCTTCTGGTGTATTACTTGCTCGTTTAAATTATGTTTTTAAGTTGTTCATTCTTTCCTTTTACATGTGTTGATTTTCTCTTGTTACTATTTTAAAAAGATTAGAATTGTAAACGGATACAAACCAGACGGACTGATCACCGAAAGGAATGATCAAAACCGTTACATAGCATCAGGAGCTGGTTGTGACTTCAAAGTTGAGGATTTCAGTGGATTCAGCTTATCCATGCATAACGTTGCGGACGTTGTTATTCAACTGTGTGTTCCAATATTCCAGGTAACTTAAGCTTAATTTTAAAAAATAAATAAAAAAAATACTTTGATCGAATAGACACACCGAAATACGTTCAGCTTAGATCTACATAACGAAAGAGCCTAGATCTACATGACGAGCGGTCGACTGACGAAGAACACGATTGGTTTGAAGGCTAGTACTAAATTGTTGTTAATGTTTCCTCAGAAAATTAACAGAGACATCGGAATAGCAGTAATGGACGACCGAGTGCACTTACACATCCGAGGTGCAGAAGACGGTGAACCGTATTTTAGTGTCCAGGATGGTTCCATGACAGATGGTGAATTCAAAGAACACGCCTTAGATGTTATCGATAAAGCTTATGGTAAGTTACGTTCGTCATTGTAATGCTTATAATCAAAAGAGTAATAAGACAAATATATCGTTCTTTTGTTTACATGGTTTATTAGTCTAGGTCTACTCGCATGGCGAAATGCGTAATATCATATTAAAATCGTGTCTATAACCACCGTGTATATCTGTCACAAGTTTTCCCGGATTCGCATACTGGACAATAGGTCCTACTCGGTTACAAACAAATAATATAAGACGCAATACATTTAATGCGACCACTTCTACAATATATTTCCGTCTTCAAGACTTTCGTTGAATAATACATTCCAATGATTAAATAGCGTCGTTTCTGACTTGTACACACATCAATAACAATATCCCCAATAAAGTATAACTCAATAATCCATGGAAGTCAATAAATATACGGTAATACGTTGTCATGGACCTCATCAATAGGTCCCAACTTTACAATTCACAAATTAATTTGCAACACCGTGACTACCGTTCAAGTAGCTCGTTCTGATTGTTCTACCACTTTCCACAACAACTGACTTTTAAACAGCATGCACATGCCCCATTGTCATTCAAAATATATACGTATCGCCTGAACAACCAGACCAGCGCAAACATTCGTTACGCCACTGTTTTATTAAAATTACACGAACTTCTTACAATATCAATAAAATATGCAATTATTTTGCTACTTATTTTTATAAAACTGATTCTTAATATTAACCCAAATGTTTAACAAAAACCACTGATGATGACATAATTAATGTCGAAATATTGAATCCCAACACGATGGCGTGTATTTCAATACTTGGAGTATGTATTATACTTTTTTAACAAAAACATTCTTTTTAAATATTTCATGAGGCTAACATATAATTCCTGGTATTTTCCCATTAAAACATGTCTTTGTATATGCCATACCAAACTTTGTATATTGAAAACAACTTTTATCAAATAATGGATAACTAATCAAGATCAACTCGTTTGCATTCAATTCGTCTTAGATCCTGTCAAATTTCCATCAACGTGCTCTGTGGATCCATTTACATCTGGAGAGACTTATCCAGATCACGTCACGTCGGCAGAGGAAGCAGTTGGAAAAGTGGATTATCCAATCAGAAGAAACGACACTGAAGAGTTTAAAAAGTAAGATTCTTGTTCTTGTTCGCTGATGTTTTTACGGTCTTGTATGAATGCAATTATAATTGAGTGTGTGCCTAAGGGTGTATTCGCGTGTTTGATGTTAGGAACGCGGTATGTAGGTGAATGCGGTGGGTGTGTGTAAATCACACACACCAGTAAATCATGTACTTGCGTTGTTTTGTTTCTGCAGATTGGTACAGTATCCAGCTCGTCTTATTGATTTCGAGAACTCAGAACATTCATCCGCTTGGTGTGGACTAAACACTCGCAGTTGCATTGATTGCAGGCAAACTATACACGGATCAACATTATCTTCAAGGTAAGTGTTGATGATGTTGATAATGATCAGATTGATTGATTATTATAATCATTACAATTTATATAGGTCTATAGAATGATTGTGATTCTTCTTTTTTTGGACTCTTCTAACTACGGAGCTTTCGATTGCACGACGACGGTAGGGCGTGCAACGTAATGACGTCACTAAAAGTCATCTGCGCATGCGAGAACGTTATAGTCACGGCGTCGAGTAGATTCTGGAACGCAATTTGGCCAAAAATCTACGTATGCAGAGAAGTAGGATGCCAGGTAGGACGGTCACGCATAAGTGATTCCGTTCTAGCCTCGCGTCGTTGCACAAATCGAAAGTTCCCTAATGTTATGACTGTTTACATTTTAACTAATCTTTTGACTACTGAATTTTACTGCTTTATCATTTTTACTACCTTAACTTGTGATTTGAACTTTTTCGATGTACAGTATTTTAACAAAGTTCAATTTATTCTGTGTTTTAGGTTAAGCTTTGTATCATATTTGTTTATATACTGTAATTTTGTATCGCAAAACAGGACAATGTGTACAACGGGTTGTTACACCCTCCTGATATGTTATCCTGTATAAATATGTTCAATAAATAAATAATATATAAATAAAAAAAAGATGGGTGATGCTAATGATAAATGTAATGACTGTTAATACTGACCAAGCGTTAGGCCGACTTGGAGTATATTTATTATGATTTGTATACAAGAAGGTTATAGATGACTTGATTGTATCATTATTATGTACTTAAAATATAAAACAATGTTATTTTATGATAGATGTTCAGATCGTACAATGACTGCTAGGCTGATGAGTGTGCTGCAGAAAGTACAAAAGATGACATCAAACGCGTTTACTGGAGGTAGTACATCTATAATCAATGGACTAAGCTGTATTTGAAAGTTATATGTATTTTAAATGAGCATTCACGACCCTATGATTGGCATTAATATTGGTGATGATGGTGGTAATTTTAGTGATGATGAAGTTGACAATGATGATGATGATGATAATGATGATGGTGAGGGTGATGTTGAAGATGACGATGTTGATGTTTTGATGATGATGTTGACTGTGATTATGGTTACGGTGATGAAGACGATATTGATAATGGTGATGACGACTATGATTTTAATGATGATAGTTTTTATGATAATTCTGTACTACATATACTAATTGTTAAAAATGTTTATGTCAACAGAAAAGCTAGTTGTAATGGAAGCCTGGGATGAAGCATACGCTGATGCGCCAGAGCTCAATGGTGATAATCCAGAGGGCTCACTACATTATGAAGGTCGAGCTGCGACCGTCAGACTATCAGGAGGAGATGCAGCGAGACTTAGTCACGTGGCCTCGTTTGCAAGATGCAGTGGTGCCGATTACGTAAAACATAATGGTTGGTTGTTGATAAGCTCACCCAGGACATATGACTTTTG